TACCACTACCACCGCAGCACTAGCACTAGCACTACCACTACCACTAGCACTAGCACTAGCACTAGCACTAGCACTACCACTACTATTAGAGCAGTTTTCGTATGACTGTGAAAAGCTCAGTGCCGTAAGCGTATTGGCTGAATTTTTTTCACGCATGGTCTAAAAGTGCCGTGATCTTGGCGAGACCGTGTCCGCGCCATGTTTATGCCGTGTTCCGGGTATTTGATTGGATGGAGAGTAAATTCTCGTGCAATGTGATTGGTCTGGCGTACCCCTTGCCGTGTCATGGCCGTGTTCGTGCCGTGAATTTTTCACAGTCATACGAAAACTGCACTAGTACTGTTACTACTACTTACCAAGGGATTCCATTACCATAGAAAAAGGGTTTCTGCAGAATTCCTGCTGGGAAAACTAGGATTAAAGTAATAATAGCAAGAAGTTAGTAAAATATTTCCTGCCTGGCGTTTTGCAAACTTCTTTTTATCTTATTTCGATGAACTACATAATTGTTCATTAAAAGGCATCATTACATCCCAAGGAATCAAGTATGGCAAAGTGTTCGTGCACTACTTGCCTTTGACTTGTCGCGGGTTCGATTTCTGTACTCGCCATTACATGATACTCGCAGTCGAGTTTGTTGTGTATCTCCTTTTGATTCGAGATCTTTTATTCCAGATTCTCCCTTCACAAAATCTAACGAGCTAAATTCCAGTTGAATGGATCTAACCTTGGTTAGTCCAGTGGTTGTTTTAGACTTCTATATTTAAAGTTTGTGAAAATTAAAAGGTTTCCGCGGACTAGATTAAGAAATGCATGCATCTTCAAGCTACTTACCAATCATGTTGTTAGAAAAATCATTCATGGCGTTCACGATCTGGGGATTCATTCTCCAACTAAAATTTCAGAAAAGGTAAAGCTTAAATTTAACAAGAGGAGAAACAATTTACGATAAATACTAATGACGGCCTTGTCCTACATAAAAAATGAGAGAGAAGGTTGTTTATTCTATATAATCTGTTTCAATTCTACTCCACTCACAGTTCTTTGTCCACTGGTAATCGAAGTTTTCTTATCATTTTTTTGTGAAACATTTTCATGAGATTCCACCTGTTCTGGAAGAACTTATTATCCCTGATCACCACCTGTAAGGATATATAACATCAGCAACATCATGAAATACAGCGCTGTTTCTATTTCATGGAGCGCGGGAAAGGGAGAGGCGGTATTCAAATATTTGTTGTGTGATACGACTTTGAGCAAGGCTGAGCGACTGACCTTTGAGCTGACATTTTGTTGTATTTAACGTGTGAGCGTGTGGACAAGGAGACGCTTTGGGCGGAATTGAATACTTTAATTGGATGCAATTTTTTAAAATTTAATATACAGATTTCAAACCTTTTTGAATATACATTACAGCCATGTTTTTTTGAATATTCATTATTCATCACTGGAAGTACAGCATTGAAACTGAAGGTAATAAGAGTTACAGCTAAACAAAATAATACAAGATACTAAAGGGAAGCAAGTCAGTAGAAACATAACATACGTTTTTGTAATGCGAAAATTTTTCAGGTAATTTCTTGCCGTCAATGTAATAGTCAGGGTATCCAAGTGCTACCTTCATTTTGTCAACCTTAAAGAAATATGGAAAGCGTTATATATAGAAGACTGCTAAATCGAGAAAAGATATAAATCTATGGCATTATTGCATGGATATGATGATGATGGTGATGATAGTGATGATGGTTGAGATGGTGATGATAATAGTGTTAATGGTGTGATGCTGATTATGGTGTTAATGGTGATGGTGATGGTTATGGCGGTTAATTGTGATGGTGATTATTATGATGTTAATGGTGATGTTGACGATGATGTTTATGATAAGGATAATATTAAGATATTTGATTGATGATAATATTCCTAATAATCACGGGGACACCTTCACATACCTTTTCAGCCACAGCTGTTTTTGTCTTCTGGTCCATCCAGGGAAGGGAATCTACGTTTTCTTTAAATGCTTCGCGAACTCTATCGATCATCTTCACTGCCTGTCAAACGAGCCCAGTTAGGAAATCTACTTGTTTAATGATGCACACTATGGCTGCATGAGATATATCATCAGTTGATTTCTTGGTATTCAATAATTGTTACTGTACGGATCACGCAAACTTGGACTACTCTTACGAATTAACCAATCAAACATAGAACAAAGCATTCCAATCATTCTGATCATAAGCCAATCAAGAGCAAGGAACGAAACCAAAATCTGCAAGCAACGTAACATTGTAATGGGAATTGTAATTTGCACTTTCCTGATTTCAGTTTTTACTCCATATCCTGATTGGCTTACTTGGTCCCATTAAATAGGCTAGAGAATTTGTCTGCTCACCAAATCTCTTGTTCCTCGATCAAAATGCTTCTTTATATATGGAGCACCTAAAATGTCCCCTACAAATTTATCTGTATGCACCACACATGTTCTCCACCGTTCCTTTGAGCCTTCTGTGCCTTCTTTGGCATTATCAAACTCTTGGCGTGCGTCCCTGTAGGCCTTTGATAGATAGTACGGCTCATCTTCAATAAGCCTCCATCCAAGGAAGTTTGCCAGTACTCTGATATAACAAGGCAAGTGTTAATTTTCATTCCATTAAAAAATGTATATTAAAGTAAAAGGCATCTCCTCGTTGTAGGGAATTCAGTAAAAGCCTGAGAAATACAGGAACTTTTTAATAAGGAATTGCAAAGTCTTCAGTCATGTGTATATTTGTTTTCGCTAACTGTTTATATGTTTGCACTGATGTACTGTTTGGACCCTATAAAACGCGATCTGCGAGTTTATTGAACTACTTCAAAAACTTCAAAAAGTTTTGGTTGAATTAGAGCGCCCATATAAGTCGCTATCATAGACTTTTATATTTTGATAGACGTTTGAACATCAATGACATGCGCAGTGAGATTTGTACATCAATGCTATGCGCAGTGAGTCCAAAAAAGGCTCCAACAAGTTGAAGACAACATACCCAACTCAAGAAATATCCAACTCAAGAAAGCGGCACTAGTTGACGAGATTAAGTAGGTCGTCGATGAGTCCTAAGCCTTCATATAAACTTGGATTCACCTTTATCTCTCATAAGGTCCTCCTATTTAGTATTCGTTATATAACTCATAGAAGCAACACTCGAATGAAGAAACTATTTCAACATTCAACCATTCACTTCAGAAAGTCAGTAGCCTCATACGCACACGTTTTTAGTGTTTGTTACGCAAAGTTTCCCTTCCCACAAATGTCTGCTTACTTCTTCAAGAAGGTGCCCTTATAAAATCACTCTTTCGAAGTGTAGCGTAACGTAAAGTAACGCATCACATCACTACATAACGTAATGCAATCCAACAAAAATCGTATCGTACTTTAAGGTATGCGCAAGTGTTCGGAACTCAGCATGGCGTAACGTAACGTAACGTAATAATTTAAGTACCTCTTTGGCGTTTCCTTGATAAGTTTTCCAACTTTCTTCATGAACGGAAGTCCCGGTATCACTAGGAGCTCGTCCTCTGCCATTTTCGTTGGGGCAAATATCGCATTGAGATGGTCTTCCCAGTCGTACTAGAAAACGATGGGATGAGGAAATAAATCATAATCGAATTTTACTTCGAAAACTAATCTTTCAATATGATTCATACCTCAGGCGCTTCCTCTTTAAGCTCCTCGAGGGTTACTGTGAATTCCCAGTTATGCTCGGCTAGGGGAACTGCAATCTACAGATAGATAAAACAAGACGGGACAAGATCATAACACCCGAACAGGACTASTTGAAGTAGAGAGCCACCCTGTGTGACCACGTGCACTGTTTCATAAAAAGGTTTTTTCTCTTCAGTCCTCATCTTTTACTATTGCTAATATAAATTAACTTAGGTATTTCATGCAATGAAGCTACAATATCTTGAACAAAATTGCCAAACATTGCCTTTTTCTTGACAGGTTTTGACATGATAAACTTGGCACTAAACGGCCTCAAATCGCGCTGAAACTTCGTCAGAAGACAGAACAATATACAAGAAATAACTAAAGCAAGTTTTAAAATAATATTAGAGATTGAAACGTTTTATTGTCATATCTTTATCATGATTCCCAAACATTCCCTTAAAAACTATACACAGGAACCTTGTTTAGGCTGCCTGTGGTATGCTTATATCGTTTGAGCTCCGGTAAGGAGTTGTACAACTTCTTTTTATTATATAGAGGGTCCTGAAGGGGCCCAAATCCAATAGCAACAGCCTATGTTTTGCTCAAATCTCCGTTTCCCATTCATAATTCTTGGCCGTATTTTTTGCTTGTAAATCAAATTCGCAGTGCATAGAATTTCATTTTCCCAGCCCATTCAAAAAAGCGAATCCCAGCTATCATCAGACCCATCTGTATATCTTACTGGTTACTTCAGATCTACTTACCTCTGCAAGTTTGGTAAGAAAATCAATAATTCCCTGTGCGTCCTCCGAAATGTCTTTTCCAGTCAAAAGTTTTCCGACTTTAATGATGTATTTCTTGAGCGCATCAACTAGCTAAAAGATTCAAAGACGCAATTATCATCACTTAAAATTAAAACTGAAGCTGAAAGAAAATATATTAAGCAGGTTTGTACCGATTAAATCTCGTAATTATGTATGTAATAACTTATAAAAATGAAATAAAATACAACTAAAGCATATATATCTACCTCGGGGTTGTTAAGATAAACTTCTTTATCAAGAATCTTTCCAAGCGACTGAGAAATCTACGAATTACAACGACACACATTTAATAATATTTAATATAATATCTAATAATTCCATTTTTTGATACTAGAATTATTTCAATGCACTAACTTCTATGGCATTCTCATCATTTTTTTGGGGGTTAGTCACCACATCCACATAAAACAGTGGTCCTGCAGCAGACGAGTATTTCCTGTGAATAAACTGAAGTGCTTCCTTGAATTCCCAGCGTTCCTCATCCCAGTCTTCAGGTTTTGGCCAACCGCCACTTTCTCGATGGCCTCAGTATTCATGCAAGACTTGTATATGTCTGTTGGGATTTTCATCAACTTTTCGCTCGCTCCTTCAATACCGCTTATTCCTTCGTCCATTATATCTTTTAGGTATTCTTCATTCTTCTTTGCAAGGGCATTAAAGGTACCAAAATAAGAAAATCCAGTAGGGATGGGATTTTTTTTCATCTATCCGCCACAGGCATAATCGTAAAAGTCGTCACAAGGGTCTACTGTGGAATCCATAGAATTCTTAATGTACTCGGCCGCGTCCTTGCATTCTTGGGTCTGACATACTCTATTACCGTCATTTTGGCGCACATGCCTTGTGTCACTGATTTGAGGATGTATGGCGACAATTGCCAGTAAAACTAGCAAAATCTCCATGGTGGTTTGGTGTCTTCTTTTGTCTTTCGTCTTCTACTTACCTATAGACGATAATAGCTCATGAAACCTTTCCTCCTTGGTTTTATATCGACATCTCATTATTGATTACTACCAGTAAGGCCAATAGTTACATCGATCAAACTCTTTTATACCTGTTGCACATGCATTGTTTCCAGTTTTTTTTGGTGGTTCTAGAATGAAATTTTAATTCGAATTCTATATGTTGCTGTTTTCTCCTAATTATATCGCTTAATTATGAATGGGTTACTGTGGTCGTCTTTTAATTAGCATCCGAGGTACTTTGATTTAATTGTTGGATATATATAACTTCCACCGAGGAAAACTTGAAAGATCCCCACTTTTAGCTATATATTATTTTCCCTCTACTTCCTCCGGGTCACTTTCTGCTTGAACCTTACTCTTTGCTCATTCAATGTTATACGGCTGTCATATAAACAATGAAAACAACGAATAATATGAACACCTAATAATCTGATAATTCAAATCATCTAGCGAAGCATAACTAAATTACCTGTTTGCGTTGCATTACTCTATCAAGAATTCGCGCAGTGTTTGACATATTCACGCTCTAAAAATAGCAGATACGAAATATTATGTATATATTTTGGTTAGGAATATTTATATATATACTGCAGTTTGCATAAACTTTGACCCTTTTGTGCATATATACATGCATATCTAAAATATATCAAAAATTATGGCATATGATCCCTGATATTTTTTTATTGAACGAAAAACACACCATAATTGATTAAAAAAACAAATTCTTGAAAATTTGTTTTATATTTCATTCAATATTAAAATAAATTAAGCTTATCTATAGATATATTAAAAGTTTTGAGAGAAAGTCTTTGATTTGTAAAAATATGCGATTGTTTGCTAAAAAACACACCTGTATTCTTAAAGAATACTTCTTGATCCACCTTTGACTACATGGAAGTTTTTTAAAGTTGTTGTTGGACTATAAATTGCCCCAAAGAGAAGTTTTCTTGCATTTGCGAAAGCCGCATTTCCGAGTAGTTTTGTTTGAAATCAAGCGGGATTCCTGTGTTGTGTACACGGACGTATGTACGGACCGACTGAGGTGACGTCAGCCAAGCCATGAAAAATCAACTCGATGAGTAAGTATGGTGCTCCGCTCGCGTCCGCTCGCGAGGGCCAACGGGAGCTCCGCTAAAAAGTGTCAGAGGATTTTCCTTGTGCCGAGGACCCCGACCTTATTGTCAGCAATAAAGATGGCCGAATTTTTTTACAAAATTTTGAAATTGCATGTTCACCGAGTCGTTATCGTTTCTACCAATTTTAAAATTTGTACACAAGTTGGTATATGCTAAAACAATTATTCGCCTCAGTCTCAGTGAATATGGAGAATATTTACCGAGACGCGAGTCCCGATATTCACTTCGCCTTCGGCGAATAATTGCTAAATATATTTTGCTTGTTATAATCCAAGTAAATTGTTTACATTAACCAATACTATTATGGTTAGAATAATGCTGGCCTTCTCTGCAGGCGTCTCTTTTCTCTCTCCTTTCTCTTTTCCTATACTGGGATATATTCCTTTGTTGGCTGAGAGTTAACCCAAAAAACCTTAGCGAGTAGCCTTGGGAGGAGGCTACGAAATGCTACCAATGAAAAAATGATTTTCTTGTTCCTACTTGCCTGGTTAATACTAGATTGTATTCACACATGTCTTGAATTTAAGTCAACCTTAAAGAAAGGAATCTAGCGGAAGAATAACTTTACAAAAAAGCTTCAAGTCAACCAAAACGAATATATGTGCTTGTGATGTCTGGATAAGCAGGGTTTTCTTCATTTGTCAGTGTTTCCAGCGTTGTTAGTTCATTTCTGTTCATTTACCAGAAAAACGCTAAACTAACAAAAGAACAAACGAAGACCTAAACAAGATCCTAACTTTTATGATTTAAAAAATAAAAAAAGAATTTTATATTGCAACCGCTAACCGGCTACAAGACAGCTATTCAGCAATGGACCGTTATCTCAAGGTTGCGTGTGCATCCAAATTTAAGGAACTTGACGTGCCACGATACCAGAACACGAGTATTATCATGCATTGCTATGAAATCTTTTTTCGATAAGAATTCATAAAATTAACTATTCTCCTCTTTGAATATAAAACTGTCTTCTCAATTTTACTGACTTTTCGTTTTTCAGTTTTGTGGACCGTCAAGTTGGATGCGCACGCGGCCTTGAGGAAACGGTCTATTAAAGTAAAAAAACACCCCCGCAGCCTTGTATCACGTCGTGAACACATCTACTTTTGGACTTTGATTGGTGGTGGAGTCAAAGCTGTCAAGTCAAAAAGGGTATCTGGTCAATATCGCCGGCACTGGTCAGTAGCCTTACAGTAGCATTTTGGTTCATGCTGTGATTGAGCTGTTATTTTAGTGTCATGTAGAAATGAAAATCTGAGAAATACTAAGAAAATATATATTTTTAACATTTCTAGATAGCAGACCAAAATTGAAATGCCACTGTTTATTGTGATAAAGTAAATTTGGTTTTGGGACCGAGTTTCAAAAATTAGGGGAAAATGTCACCCAATATTTTACCACAAGCAATCGCGATGTGTCCGCAAGACGTGAGTTGACTGTATTGACTTACAGGTTTATAAAAAAATGTACACCTACTACAGGTGGATTTTATAACATTTCTTATATCAAAATTTATTCATGATAGTTCATAAACCAATAGTAAATGAATCAGTTGATAATGTATTAGAGCTACTATGCTTCATTCAAAACACAAAATAGAGTAAAATAAACATGACTAAAATAATAAACAATTAAAAAGTCTGAGTTAAGTTCGGTCGCTAACGGCAATATTTTAATGCTGGTGGCAAATTATTTTTTCATTCAATGAACCCCACGTAATGATGATCACAGGCTCAAAGCTTGCATAGAAAATAACCAATAAAGTGTCTCTGGCTCAGGAAGGGGGCTATTGTCAAGTAAGAAGAACGAGGGTTTAAGAACTCATTCTTAAGTTAGCTCCGAAAGGGACATTGTAGTCGTGATGGTAAGAATGATGAATGGTGGCAGCGGTGGGAGACAAGAAAATAAGATATGGTCGTTAATCCATGGTCCTCGTTTCTTGACAATGCTACTGATAATATCCATGATCCACGTAGCAGCAAGTCAGAACAAGATGAGTACTCTTGATCAAGGTTTGAACAAGATTCGATCACCAAGTAGTGTCAAGACAGCAGGCAAAACCAAAACTCAATCTAGCAGGATTTGTAACACCACAGAATGTGCTGATGTTGCCAATCAAATCAGAAGAGTTATGAACCCGAGCGTGGACCCGTGTGATAACTTTTATGAGTTTGTTTGTGGCCGTTTTCGGGAACAAAATCCATTGAATGGAAAATGGGTCACTAATACGTATAGAAAAAGAGGTTGGTGGTTTCGAAGGTATCTAAAAGAAAAACTGATAAAAGGGCTAGCCAAACTCAACGGGGTAAGCGATGAAGTAATGCAAATACCTTCGGACATCTACAAATCGTGTATGAACTTGAAAGCCATTGACAAGGAGGGTGATGCACCATTAAAGCAACTCATCCGAGAATTCGGAGGATGGAGTTTGGTAGAGGAAAATGGACAGTGGGACGAGAACAACTGGGATTTTGCGAAGGCTCTTCTAGCAATTCATCGTAACTATATATCCAAAGGGCCATTATTCGAAGTGAAAGCCTTCTACGATGCTGCTGCCGACAGTAGCAGATTTGTTTTTGAGGTAAACTCAAAGAGAGATGTCTTCTACCTTACGATAAAATTGGACATTTTCTTGTTTTGTTGTTCCATTTGACATTTGCATTTGATATATCTATTGTACGAATCAAAATAAAGTTAGTATTATTAAATCCATTTAATTCTGCTAATAGTTGATATTCCCTTTTCAAATACATATAAATCAAGCTTACAATTTTACTTTTTTGAATCTATAGATTGATGAGGCGCCATTCAAGGGATCTTACTCACCACCAAAGGTATTGATTACTATTGTGTTTTTCGCTTTCAATTTTGTTATTACCCGTGATTTTTACATGATTTTTATTATTGTCAGGTTGATGCCTATCGAAGTCTGATCCGTCACATAGCATTCTTTCTGGGAGGACGTACCAATCTTGATGGGAAAGTACAGGAGTTGGTTGATTTCGAAGCCAAACTTGCAAAGGTAAGTCATAATGGAAAATCCTTCATGATTCCAAATGTGTTTAAATTTTTTTTACAACTTTTTTTTTTAGCCCCCGTACGGGGCTCCTCCTTGAGGTTCGATTCCTCCACACGCACTACCACTACATTCTATATTTACAACACTACAATTACTCAACTCACATGTTGATTTTTACGGAGAGAGGAAACCGGAGAACCCGGAGAAAACCTCGCGGCAAACATCAAACAAACTCTACTCACATATGATCCTGTCTGAGCCGGTGCTCTAGTCCGGATCTCCCCAGTGAGAGGCGAGCACCCATGCCACCATAAATTTATATTACAGAAACACTCGTTTATAACTGCTTGATCGGCTCTCGGCTCCGTTTTCTCTTAGTCTTTTGCACGCACAGTATAAATGATAACCAAAGATTTTCACCAATTTATGTATTATAATCAACGCACTTTTTGTAGGTGTGTTATTAATACCGGACCGCCTTAGTTCTTGAAAAAATCTATGAAAAATACCTTTCCACTTGCATTTGCTGAAAGTGGCATAATGCCACTCGTTCTATCATAGTAATTTTTTTTWATGGCCTATTTCATTAATTCTTCTGGAACGGTGGTGTCATATAATGCGAAAAGTAGTTCCGAAATTTGATAGGGGGCATCCATTTCCTAGGTATTTTCGAATTTTGTGAATCAGAATATTATGTGAAATGAAAACAACACCAGCAATTGCATCAAATATTTTTTAAACTTCGATATCGTTTTTTTTATTTAAAAAAACGCTTTTTTAACGATCATGGTCAAATTCTTATCAAAATAGTTATAAGCTTTTTTAATTTTATTTCATTTTGACAAAATTGTTTTCCACAACTAAAACAAAAATTTAATAAAAAATTAATAAAAATAATAAAAATAAAATAATAATAAT